CAAAGGTGTGGGATTACAGGCTAAGCCACCGAGCCTGACTGGAGATGTTTTTCCAGCATATCCTGGTGCTTTGTTTTCACTGATTTTCTTTTTTTCCCTCTTCTGTTGAGGAGGGGATTTTCACTCAGGACTCAATCAACAGGTGCTGACCTCACAGACACACTCTTTTAAAAATTTGCCATTGCCTAATGGGATGCGTGTGTATGTCTTGAAACTGTTGTTGGTCAAACACTCCAAGTTCACCACCAAGCAGACAGTGCATCAGCTCGATTGTCACTAGAGGTCAAGTGACCCCAGTCAGCTGAGTTCCCACCCTCTTCCATTTCGCAGACCAGTCAGAGGCAAGGAGTCAGTGCAGAACCCTTCCGAAGTGAGGAATTGGTCAGACCCTGCCTCCTGCCCAGCTTTTCTCAGGGCTCCTCCCACTCTCTGCCTTCCTCTTTTGCATTGTGGCACGTCCACTCCTCCCCCTACCGTGGACCCTCGAAGTATGACAGCTCCTGGGCCCTGCCACCGCCCATGCTGTCCTGGGTCTACAGTTATGCATCATGGCTTCTGACTCAAACCCAGCTTGGGAGGGTGCTGGTCAAGATGGGACGTTATCAGAGGGGTTTCAGCCCTTGTCTTGGCAGTACGTCACAGTCTACGCAGTCAGCAATAGATGGGCGTGTCATGGCAGGTACTTGGGTGCTCATCTACCATGTTCTAGATCTTCTTCGAGGAATAGTGATACCATGAAGCCTCTACCTGTTTTTCTCATGCCACGTCCTTGCCAGCTGACCGGGAGCAAGTTTCAGCTTGGGATGGAGACTTTTCTGGGCAGAGTTGATAAAGCTGCCGCCTCCGTGTTTTAATAAACTGTCTTCTACAAGCACAGTCTAACTGACGTGTGCTCATCTGAAGGAATACGCTTCATGATGGGGACGGTCACCAGTTGCTCTCCAGCTAACGTTTCCTCTTTACTCAGCTCCCGTGTGCTGCTCTGCTCGCTATACCCTGGCCGCGTTGGCCTTCTTTGGCTTCTTCGTTCTCTACGCCTTACGTGTGAATCTGAGTGTCGCGTTGGTGGATATGGTGGATTCAAACACAACCGCAAAAGACAACAGGACCTCCAAGGAGTGTGCAGAGCATTCTGATCCCATAAAAGTGCATCATAATCGGACGGTGAGTGTTCCTAATTAATACTCAAAGACTTGCACGTGGAAATAGGACAGGGCCCTTCCTTCTTGATCCTGCAGAAATCACTCGCGCTTTCTTCCACGCTTGAGTCCTCAGGCCACTTTCTTTTGCTTCTCCCAGGAACTGGTTGGATGACATCTTATGACCACAGCTGCTGCTGCTGTGCTGTAATTACCCTGATCTGTTTGAAAAATGGTTCTCCAGTTCTCTCCATAAACTTACCGTCCTTGAAGTCAATTTTGAAAAACCAGTTTCACGTTTCAGAAAGCTCGACTGCTTTAAATGTTTCCAAGTAGTATTTATAAGACTCTTGGTTATCATCCCATTTTGCCTCCGGGGTTTCTGTTGCCAGCTGCAGGATGGAAAACGAGAGCTGGCCAGTCTCTTAGGGCATTTTTTCCCCAAGTGTACATGGGTCCCACCTAAGCTGCTTCGGGCACTTTACTTCCTCATGGGATTGTAAAGGTGTGTTCATCATCTGTGTAGACTTAAGTAAATACACACTTTAAGTACTTCACTTTATCACACGAGGAGACAGGACAGAAAGAAAAGGCTGAAATTCCTTTCATCTGTATATTTTCGTGTGTTTTCGATGCTCCCAAAGATGCCAGTCACACTCGGATGAGGCTCCCCTGTCACTGACAAACAGGAGCATTAAAGCAGGGAAGAGAGCTTCTCTCCAAATGAGATAACAACATAGTTGAAGTTATTATGCTTTAATGATGCTGCCGAATAGCATATCTGGGACACACCACCCGCTTTCTCACAGAACCACGGCCTCCAGGGATAATCCTGGCACCCACGGACAGTCCAGGGACATTTCTGGCTGCTTCTCTTCACCTGTCGGTGTTGACAGGGAGGAGAAATCCCAGGGTGGCTCTTGACGTGTTGGCTTGTTGGACTGCCACGTGCACTGAAGACGTCAGATGCCAGCCCTGTCACCTGACCTTCACTGGTCCCTTGCTAAGTGTGGCTTTTGATCAGTTGACGAGTCCTTTTACATGGAGTCCCTGGCTCGGTCTAAGCAGATGCTCTTCTGTCATGTTCCATGTGCTCACTCAAGTGTGTGGTCTGGAATGGGAAGTTACTATCCGTAGTTACGTATACGAATAGCCAACATTAAGTAAGCCCTGACCATGCAGCAGGCCTTATTTTACATGCCGTTTTCTTTTTTTTTTTCCAAATTAAGAAAGGTAGATTTGTTAAAGGAAATATACATTGTGAAGGGCACGACGGGCAGGACAGCAGCAAGAGTGTCCACTGTCTGCTGTTTACATGCCGTTTTCATTTTATCTTCCTAGATCTCACAGCGGTAAGTGACAGAGCTAGGCATAGCCCAGGCCTGGCCCAGAGCCCAGCTGAGCACTGCTGTCTCCTCATCAGCAGCTCTCTGGATTAAGCCTGTGGCTCTTCATGGTCATTATGAGGCCTCCACAGCCCACTCTACAGTCTGGCTTCATAAAATAGCAAACCCTCTTGATACTGATGACTTCCAGTTCTTTTTCATTCATATATCTATACCATGGGAACTCACCCGCCTGCTAGAAAGTGTGCATGTTCTACAGGCCAGAGTAGTGGTTCAGACTCTCCCTTCTGTATACTTACATGCCAGTAAGAGAAAAATGCCATTTAAGGCCGGGTGCAGTGACTCATGCCTGTAATCTTGGCACTTTGGGAGACTGAGGTGGGAGGATCGCTTGAGTCCAGGAGTTTGAGCCCAGCCTGGGCAACATAACAAAACCTCCTCTCTCTAATATTGAAGGCTGGGGGCAAGAAGGGAGGAGAGCACACGACCTAGCCAGGGTCTTACAGTGCTGTTTCCTTCCCTCCTGCAGGGTAAGCGGTACCAGTGGGACGCAGAGACTCAAGGGTGGATCCTCGGGTCTTTTTTTTATGGCTACATCATCACCCAGATTCCTGGAGGCTATGTTGCCAGCAGAACAGGGGGGAAACTGCTGCTGGGCTTCGGGATCCTCTGCACAGCTGTCCTTACCCTGCTGACCCCCGTGGCAGCGGATTTGGGCGTGGGGCCTCTCGTGGCACTCCGGGCCCTGGAAGGCTTCGGGGAGGTAAGGCACATGCCCCCTGCCCTGTGTGCTCTTTCCTCGTCCATCATTCCTGCTGTGAATGGGAACACTGGACAGGAGCAGGGGTTTGCTTTCACTGGAGAAAGGCCAACTAGAAGTGACCTGAGTGGATTGTGTTTGTGGCCAATGAAAGTCTCTACAGAAGCCACCTCAAAGTTGAATGCTTTCCCCAAAAACTAAGAAGACGTGTTTCCTGGGGGAACTTCATGGCTGATACTTTGTAAGCGTGGATGATACCCCACTATTAAGCAGCCAAGATAGGCCATCGTCACCCTCTGTGCTTTTAGCTCTATCATCAATAACCAGATCTGAAACATACTTTACACAATAGATTGTCGAATTGTTCGTGTGACTTTTTTTTTATTTTTTTGAGTTGGAGTCTCACTCTGTCACCCAGATTGGAGTGCAGTGGCCGCTCCCAGCCACCGCAGCCTCGACCTGCTGGGCTCCAGTGATCCTTCTGCCTCAGCCTTCTAAGTAGCTGAAACTATAGGCGTGCACTACCACGCCCACCTAATTTTTGATTTATTGTAGAAATGAGGTCTCGCCAAGTTGCCCAGGCGGGTCTCGAACCCGTGGGCTCAGGCAATCCACTCACCTCAGCCTCCCAAAGCATGGGATTACAGGCTGAGCCACTGAGCCCGGCTGCTTGTGTGACTTTTAAATGTGTTGTTATTCATGGAACGTCCTCTTTCTCGTTTGCTCTTTTCTTTTTTTCCGGTCTTCTAACTTAGAGACAAATAGGGATTTTTTTGTTTTGTTTTGTTTTTTTGTAAAGACAGGGCCTCACTACATTGCCCAGGTTGGTCTCAAACTCCTGGCCTCAAGCAGTCCTCCCACCTCGGTCTCCTGGAGTGTGTTGGGATTACAGACATGAGCCACCATGCCTGGCTGAGACAGATAATTTATTATTTCATGTAATTACCTCAGTTCTTTGATTCTTCCTCCTGCTTTTAGAAGTGTTGTTAATTTTTGCCTCTTATTTTCTACCTCCTAAGATTTTTATCACTTAAAAAATTGTCATTCCTGTTTTTCTGTTCCTTCCTACTTCTCTTCTGTATTTCTTTGTGTATACTCTTGTCTTTAAGTCATGGTCACTTTTCCTTTTTCTCTTTGAACTTCTGCCTGTTAAATTTGGCATAGGTTTGTTTTGCTGTCTTGTATTTCTTTAATTCAAGCAAGATGGCAGCCTCTGGGTTTGGTGTAGAGCACTAAGGTTATTTTATTTTACTTTATTTTATTTACTTTTTTGAGTTGGAGACTCACTCTGTCACCCAGACTGGAGTGCAGTGGCACACTCCTGGCCACCACAGCCTCGACCTGCTGGGCTCCAGTGATCTTTCCACCTCAGCCTCCCAAGTAGCTGGAACTTGGAACAGGTGAGCACTACCACGCCCAGCTAATTTTTTGATTTTTTGTAGAGATATGGTCTCAACAATTTGCCCAGGAGGGTCTGGAACCCGCGGGCTCAGGCAGTCCACTCACCTCAGCCTCCCAAGGCATGGGATTACAGGCTGAACCACCGAGCCCGGCTTATTTTATTTATTTATTTTTGTTTTGTTTTGTTGTTTTTTTTGAGTTGGAGTCTCACTCAGTCGCCCAGACTGGAGTGCAGTGGCCACTCCCGGCCACCGCAGCCTTGACCTGCTGGGCTCCAGCGATCCTTCCGCCTCAGCCTTCCAAGTAGCCGGAATTACAGGCACGTGCTACCACACCCAGCTGATTTTTTGATTTATTGTATAGATGAGGTCTTGCTGCCCAGGCGGGTCTTGAACCCGCGGGCTCAGGCAATCCACTCACCTCAGGCTCCCAAAGGCGTGGGATTACAGGCTGAGCCACTGAGCCCGGCTCTGAGCCCGGCTTATTTTAAGTGGCAATGTATCTTGCTGTGTTGGAAAGACACTGGACTGGGGTCAGAAAATCAGTCTGAGTAATGGCCCCACTGAATCTAGCACTGAAACCGTCCGTAAGCTCTAACTTCTAGACCTCAGTTCCATCCGTTTTAAAATTGAGACTGAAATACCTACCTTGTTCTCAGTCACAGGACAGATTTAAAGAACCTCATGTGATAAGGATTGCTGGATTACTAGACTAGTTGGAAACTGCCAAGTACTAGTTACATTGAACGTTTATCATTCGTCTGAATGATAAATTTTATTCTTATCAATTGAGGTCTATTAAATGAACCATTCCTGTCTACAAAAGGAAAATCGCCCTGCTGTTACCAGATTTCTCTTCTCCTTGACTAAAAAATATAAAATATGCCAAAATAAACCTCAATCTATATTTTCTCTGGTTCAAGTATTGGATTTGTTTGCCAAATGCATCCCCCTGTGTTAACTTCCTGTCTGTTCATGCCACTGATTTAGCATGACAGCACATTGCTTGCCTTACCGCTGTCATCTCAGGTTGCTGTTTCATTTCTAAGTAGATTTCGATCGTGTTTATACTTAGGTCATTCATGCGACTTCATTTCTCCAATAAATGTCACATGTACGCTGCCTTATCCATAAACCTAGGTCAGCATCGTTCATGCCTGCCATCCGAGTCACCGTGAATATGCTTACATTGCCCTTGGGTTTTATAATAAAGCTTTCCACAACATACTCTCTGGGTGTTTCCAAGCATCTCAAGTTTTACTCTATAATGACTCACCCTGAGGGTGCTCCGTGACAGATTCTTACTGACTTGCAACACAGCATAGCTCATCTCTGCCTCCACTGGTTTCTTTCTTTCTTCCTTTCTTTTGATTTTAGAAAGAATCAGCAGAAAGTCCAAAGTTTTAAAGCATTTATTCTTCTCTCCATTAATGATAGCCCTAGATAATGCTTATCCTACAACAGTTATGCAAGATACTGTTTTACAGTTGAAGAAACTGAAGTTCAAGGAGGTCGACTAATCTGTCTGAGGTTACACAGTAGTGGGAGAGTAAAGTTGACCTTGAGAGCAGTCCCTCTGTGTCATTAGTCAGTGCATACTTTTGAATTTATTTTGACCTTGCAGTTGTCAAACTACTTTCCAAGTCCATAATCTTTGTTCAGGTTTTGAAAATACCTCAGGCCGGGCTCAGTGGCTCAACCTGTCATCCCAGCACTTTGGGAGGCTGAGACAAGTAAATTGCCTGAGCCCACAGGTTCGAGACCAGCCTGGGCAACTTGGCAAGACCTTGTCTCTACAATAAATCAAAAATTAGCTGGGCGTGGTAGCACACGCCTGTAGTTCTGACTCCTTGAAGGCTAAGGCGGAAGGATCGCTGGAGCCCAGCAGGTAGATGCTAGGGTGGCCATGAGTGTGCCATTGCACTCCAGCCAGGGCGATGGAGTGAGACTCCACTTCAAAAAAAAGAGAAAATACTTCATTATAAGGTATTTCCACTTAACACTGTGAAGACATCTCACTTCACGGAACCTCATTCTCGTTTGTTTCCTACCCAGAAAATGATGTAGCAACAAAATTTGCTTACCTTTCTTTAAAACATTAACAGAACGACCTCGTGTTTCACCAGAATGTCGTGTTCCCTTCTGTCAGGGTGTGACGTTTCCTGCCATGCATGCCATGTGGTCGTCCTGGGCTCCCCCTCTTGAGAGAAGCAAGCTTCTTAGCATCTCCTACGCAGGTGAGGACACTGTTCGGTAAAGGCTGTGCTGTCATTTGTTATGTGTGTATCAGCATCAGGGAAAAAGTGCTTGTACACCAGAGTCTTGCAATGTCGGATGCCCCTTTGGTGGAAAAATTAAGTTCTGGCAGCACCACTCGATACACAGCAGCATACAGCAATGTGCCTTGACTGGCTCACGTCGTCTTCCCCTTCCTTCCCTGTCTGCTGTCATTGACTTCAAAGCATGTTGCCTTTTCAGATGTTGGTATGAGAATGCTATTTTTTTTTTTTTTTTTTTAGTTGGACTCTCACTCTGTCGCCCAGACTGGAGTGCAGTGGCCGCTGCCGGCCACCGCAGCCTTGACCAGTGATCCTTCCGCCTCAGCCTTCCAAGTAGCTGGAATTACAGGCGCGTGCTACCACGCCCGGCTAATTTTTTGATTTATTGTAGAGATGAGGTCTCACCAAGTTGCTCACTCGGGCTCAAACCCGCAGACTCAGGCAATCCACTCACTTCAGCCTCCCAAAGGCACGGGATTACAGGCTGAGCCACCAAGCCCGGCTTATTTTTTTTTTTAATTTGAGTTAGAGTCTCACTCTGTCTCACAGACTGGAGTGCTGTGGCACTCTCCCAGCCACCACAGCCTCGACCTGCTGGGCTCCAGCAATCCTTCCGCCTCAGCCTTCCGAGTAGCTGGAACTACAGGTGCGCGCTACCACGCCCGGCTAACTTTTGATTTATTGTAGAGATGAGGTCTTGCCAAGGTGCCCAGACGGATCTCGAACCCGCGGGCTGAGGCAATCCACTCACCTTGGCCTCCCAAAGCGCGGGATTATAGGCTGAGCCACCTAGCCCAGCTGAGAATCCTATTTTAAAGAAAGAAAAAAAAAGCCCAGAAACGAGAACTTTTTGTCCCTAAATTATGATTTCTTTTTTTTTTTTAAGTTGGAGTCTCACTCTGTCGCCCAGACTGGAGTGCAGTGGCTGCTCCCGGCCACCGCAGCCTTTACCTGCTGGGCTCAGGTGATCCTTCTGCCTCAGCTTTCCAAGTAGCCGGAATTACAGGCATGCGCTACCACACCCGGCTGATGTTTTTGATTATTGTAGAGATGAGGTCTCGCCACCCAGGCGGGTCTCGAACCCGCGGGCTCAGGCAATCCACTCACTTCAGCCTCCCAAAGGCGCAGAATTACAGGCTGAGCCACCGTGCCCGGCTAAATTAGGATTTCTAATTTGGTTGTTCAATTAATGTATCGTGATTCTCAGCCCCGCCCCCATGCATCGTTTTTCTGTGTATTTTTATTTGCCATCACTTTGATTTACAGGTGAAATAGCATGAGTTTTATATATGTGAATATAATTTTGCCAGATTACATAAGAGTTTCTAACCTTTCTTCTATTGACCAAATGAAAACTTTTCAACTTTGACTGCTTTTTATTTTTATTTATTTATTTTTATTTTTTATTTTTTGAATCGGAATCTCATTCTGTCACCCAGGCTGAAGTGCTGTGGCACGATCACAGCCACCACATCTTCGACCTGCTGGGCTCAGGTGATCCTTTTGCCTCAGCCTTCCAAGTAGCCGGAACTACAGACATGCCCCACCTCGCCCGGCTAATTTTTGATTTATTGTAGAGATGAGGTCTCACCAAGTTGCTGGGACTGGTCTCAAACCCATGAGCTCAGGCAATCTGCTCATCTCAGCCTCCCAAAGTGCTGGAATTATAGGTGTGAGCCACCGGGCCTGACCTGACTGCTTTTTGAAGAGTGGTTGAGAAGACCTCTCTGTGGTGACATAAGTTAAAAATCTGAAGGATGAGAACAAACCAGTCATGCAGAGAACAAGGCTGTCAGGGGAGAAGTCACGTGAGGGTTCTGAGAAATGGAGGACTCCCGTGAGTGGCTGGAACTTAGTGAATCAAGAGGATGATGGCGTGCAATGAGGCTGGAGTCGGAAATGGGCAGGTTGTAGCAGGCCTTGTAGGCTAGAGGAAAGAATGTGGATTTTTGTTCTTGTTACAGTAGGGAGATACTAGGTTTTTAGTCAGGTGACAGGTATGACCCAGTTTACTTTTTTTTTTTTTTTTTTGAGTTGGAGTCTCACTCTGTCGCCCAGACTGGAGTGTAGTGGCCGCTTCCGGCCACCGCAGCCTCGACCTGCTGGGCTCCGGCGATCCTTCCACCTCAGCCTTCCAAGTAGCTGGAATTACAGGCATGTGCTACCACGCCCGGCTGATTTTTTGATTTATTGTAGAGATGAGGTCTCGCTGCCCAGGCAGGTCTCGAACCCACGGGCTCAGGCAGTCTACTCACCTCAGCCTCCCAAAGGTGCGGGATTACAGGCTGAGCCACCGAGCCTGACTCAGTTTACATTTTAAGAAGATCGTTCCTGCTCTCGGTCTCTCTTTCTCTCCCTCTCTGTCGCTCTCTCCCTCTCTGTAGCTCTCTCCCCGCCTCTCTCCCACTTCCTCTCTCTCTCTCACTCTCTCTTTCTCTCTCTCTTTTTCTTTTTTCCGTTACAGATCCCCTCTGTAACAGCCGCTTTAATAAATCTCTTGGTCCTGAAAAAAAAAAGAAGATCATTCCTGTAGCTCTGAAGTGACTGACATGAGCAATGTGAGGATAAGGTATAGAACAGGTGCTGCCTATTATTTCCCTTCACCTGTTGACTAAAATCGAGACCTCGGCCTCAAGCGAAGTTCTCCACAGCCCTCATTGCCTTGGTCAGCTAACCTGGCAAGGAGCAGTTACTCAGTGATGATTCAACTTGTGCTTCTACTGTCTTTTTCCTTTCCTTTACCCAGATGAGGTTCTCTGCTTTCTTCTTTCATTTTTTTGCTTGTCCTGTTACCTTGCCTCTGTATCTCCTTCCTCATTCTGTTTCTGCAGGACCAAGTCATAGCCGTCCTTTCAAAGTCTAGTTGCTGCTGCCTATGTCTTGTCCTGAAGTAGTATCTCCCAAGTTTGAACTTCACGTTGTTCTGCAACCCCTCAAACTTCCTGACACGCAGTGATTATTGGTTTCTGTTTATCTCCTACCTAAGACTAAAACTTGAGACCAGAAACAATGTCTGATTCCTCATTTTGGCTCCTACTGCAGCTACTAAGATGTCTTGCGTTTGATGGTTAACATATATTTTCTTTTATCTGAAATGATTGTTGGTATGTATAGGAGATTACTGAAAACTTCATGATTGCAGCAGGTTGTGTTGGTTAGCCTTGGAGACCATCTTGGACTTTTCTCCAGACGCCTGCATTTCCAGCACATGTGGCATTTACTTTTATAGTATTATAATGAGTCTCCTATTGATTGATGCCTCTGATTCATCAATAGCTGCATTATTGTAACCAATGCAGTCACTCAGTTATGTACATGTGTTTTATGTATTGTGGTTTTCCTAGTTTACAATCCCCTAAGAAAACAGATTGTTTATATTTACATGTGACTAGTTTACTCCTTTGGATTTGAGTAGTTGTTTCCTTTCTTCATCGTCTGTCAGTCATTTTCTTCAAGCAGTAGACATGTCTTTATTTTCCCCTTTCAAAATTTATAAAGTCTTTTGTGTTTTTCTAGGAGCACAGCTTGGGACAGTAGTTTCGCTTCCTCTTTCTGGAATAATTTGCTACTATATGAATTGGACTTACGTCTTTTACTTCTTTGGTAAGTTTAAAAATTGGATCAAATTATAATGTAATAAATTTAAAATGTAATAGTTGTCTAATGATTAGTTAGAAAGATATACTGGGCACAGTGGCTCACACCTGTAATCCCAGCACTTTAGCAGTTGGAGGTGAGAGAATTGCCTGAGTCAAGGGGTTTGAGACCAGCCTGGGCAGCTTGGTGAGATCTCGTCTCTACAATAAATCAAAAAAATTAACCAGGGATGATGCTGTGCACCTGTGGTTCCAGTTTACTAGGAAGGCTGAGACAGAAGGATTACCTGGAGCCCTGCAGGTCGAGAATGCAATGGCCGTGAGAGTGCCACTGCTCTCCAGGCCTGGGTGACAGAGTGAGACTCCTACTCAAAAGAAGAATGAAAAATATATTTCAACTACTGAAGTCATCATTTCCTAAACCACAAAATTCTAAAATACTGATAACCTGTTTTTCAAGTTGAAATGATTAAAACGACCTAAGTTATAAACTGATGTGAATTTTGGAATATTTCTCAGTAGAAACTGCTATGGAATCCTGGACTTAAGTAGCATATTTGCTATCAAAAACTACTATCTTGGGTATTATTAAAATATTTGCATTTTGAATTTTTTCTCATTCAAAGTAGAATTCTCTCACTTGATAGTTTTAATATTTTTTTTCTTTTTATTTAGTTCCAAGGCATTTTATTTCATTGGCAGGATAATACACATTTTTAATAAATTTTTATATAGACATTTCATGCAGGAAACATCAGCAATCAAAACCAAAAATTGACAAAAACAGATACCTATGGAGAGCTGTAGATTATGGAAATTTATTTTCAAAAAGATTGGTCTGATAGACCCTGATTGACAGAATCGCATATTTAAAAGTTATTTTCTTCAAATAGTAATATAGTTATAGATAAGTTATTTTCTTCAAACAGTAATATAGTCATAGCAAATATCCTAATAAATAATTGAGAAAAACTTGAAATTGAATCTAAACTAAAATGAGTTTTACATTGAATTTATAGTTATGTAATTTTTTCAAGACATATAAAAATTACTGTTGGTACATCCTAATTTTATCTATTATTTTTTATTTTAAGGTATACTTGGGATATTTTGGTTTATTTTATGGATCTGGTTAGTTAGTGACACACCAGAAACTCACAAGACAATCTCCTATTGTGAAAAGGAATACATTCTTTCATCATTAAGAAGTCAGGTATGGACATTTAAAAAATAATTTCAGAACTTTTTTTCTTCAGAATTAAGATACCAGTTTTTTAAAATAGATATTTCTATTGTGCATGCCCTAGGCAAAATATAATAAACAAATGCAATAAATGTATAAAGCATGTGTGAGGAATTAATATTCTTTCATTTTTTTAATAGAAAATATAGTTTTATAAACTATGAAAAATTACTTTTTAAGGTCATTTTAAACCTTTTAGAGTAATGATTTTCAAATGAGCCTTAAGTTTGTTTTTCTTCTTAATTAGTGGAAGATAAAATACGCTATTTATGAAAGGAATCTAACAGCTACATTCTGGCTGTTAGTTGTTAGAAAACTAACTAGTCCACCAGATGTGGTGGCTCACACCTGTAATCCCAGGACTTTGAGAGGACGAGGTAGGAGGATCACCTGAGCCCAGGAGTTCCAAGCCAGTCTGGGCAACTTGATGAGACCTCATCTCTACAATAAATTAAAAAATTAGCTGGGTGTGGTGGCACACACCTGTGGTTCCAGCTACTTGGAGGGCTGAGGCAGAAGGATCACCTGAGCCCAACAGGTAGAGGCTGTAGTGGCCTTGAGAGTGCCACTGCACTCCAGCCTGGGAGACAAGAGTAAGACTCCAAATCCAAAAAAAAGAAAGAAAGAAAACCAACTAGTATGTTTATATAGGGTTGAACATCCCAAATCTGAAAATCAAAATCCAAAAATGTTTGAGTGCCGACATAACTCTCTCCGAAGAGCGTTTCAGATTTCAGATTTTCGGATTTAAGACGTTTACACTTCTGGTTGCAAGCATTTCAGATAAGGGGTATTCATCCTGCATCTGTATTTTAAATGAGTGTGATTACATAAGGAAAATAGCATATTTCATGCTGTGATATAATGCTATTTGATACACACCTGTTTGTGCTTCTATAGTGTCATCTTTAGAAACAATGTTATATCTTATTAAGCCAGATTTGAATCATTTCATCAAGCAGGAAAACAAATAAAAATTAAACATCTGTCATAACTCAGTATCACAAATTTTCAAGCCATGGACACAAAATATTGCCTTTTGAGCAGAATAAAAGAACATGAAAACGGTAGAAAAAATTAAAACATATACAGTCTGTTTTTAGGATTCTTACTCTTTCGAAATCACTTTATTGTTTAAGTACTTAAGATATTTCATGTACAACTTTCCTTGCCCATTTAGTCATCATGATTGATATTTTAAATATTTTTGTATAATATAACCAGGCAGTAATTAAAAATGTACTCCTTAGTATTCCTTTTTAAGTTTTTAAGTTTTGTTACAAATGTCTTTACAATCAGCTGAACTTTAAGAAATATGACATCTCTTGATCTCTGCAAATACTGACAAAAGCTTAGAAGCAGAAGATGTCAGCAGAGTAAGAAAGAAAATTTTAGCTGGATGCAATAGCACCTGTAGTCCCGACTCAGGAGGCTGAGGCAAGTGGATCGCTTGAACCCTGGAGGCTGAGGCAAGTGGATCGTTTGAACCCTGGAGGTTGAGGCTGCAGAGAGCTATGATCGCATCACTGCACTCCAGTCTGGGCAACAAACAAGACCCTGTCTCTTAAAAAAGCAAGAATAAGCCGGGCTCGGTGGCTCAGCCTGTAATCCTGCGCCTTTGGGAGGCTGAGGTGAGTGGATTGCCTGAGCCCGCGGGTTCGAGACCCGCCTGGGCAGCGAGACCTCATCTCTGCAATAAATCAAAAAATTAGCCGGGCATGGTAGCGCGTGCCTGTAATTCCAGTTACTCGGAAGGCTGAGGTGGAAGGATCGCCGGAGGCCAGCAGGTGAGGCTGTGGTGGCCGGGAGCGGCCACTGCACTCCAGTCTAGGTGACCGCGTGAGACTCCAACTCCAAAAAAAAAAAAGCAAGAATAGAAAATAAAGTTGCTTTGAGAGTTTAGTGTCCTGCTTGATGCTAATTAATTGTGTCACTCACTTTCTCTGCTCAAGAAACAGATAAGCAGAATGTAATGCAGTATACACAGGCTTTGTCATATAAAACTTGGTAAGTTTGGTCATTTTCTCATCATTGCTGGTTAACAGCTTGCTTCGTCCAACACTTCATTTTTTTTTTTTTTTGAGTTGGAGTCTC